CTTTAAAATTTTTTACTAGTGGTTTAGTAACTTAGCATACTATTATTAATTTTTTAAGTTTTTTAATTTAGTCCTGTTCTTAGCTTTATCCTTGCCTTAATAATATTAATAATATTATTTTAATAATTAAGACTTATTATTAAGCAAAAATTTAAGTTCCTTACCTGCAGTTTTTTTTTATAGCCTTTTTTAATTAACTAGCCTTGCCTGGCTAGGTAATCCCTAGCGCTAGTATTATTATATTTTTTTAGGAGCTAGCATTACCAAAAACAAACTTATATAAAGTAAGATTATAAAAAAACTACAAGGTGTTTACTAACTCTTGCATAGCATGTATATAAATAAAAAATCTTAATAAAAAATAATTTATTATTTTTTACATACCCGCGGAAATTAAAACCAAGATCTTATTTTTAATTAATAAGTTAAATAACTATATTATTAAGGTCTTGGATGTGCTTTACTAGGTAATTTTAAAAATATAATTATATAAATTACCCTTTAGTACGTAATTATAAGTTAATATAAGAAATAGCTTTTAAAAATAAGTAGTGGTGTATAATAAGCATTCCCTTAATAATTAAATATAATACATGTAGTAAAATATAAAAAGTACACAAATAATATAAAAATATTAGGTTAACCTAGCTAGTCTTATATAAACCACTAGGACTATTAGGCTATTTAAGGCAAGTATTTTAAATACTAGTATATTTTTTAGTGTAAAGCTTGTGGGGGCATAATTCCTAAAAACCATGTAAAATTATTTTTTAAACCTAAATCCTAGTCCTTAAAATAATAATACCGCCCGCGTGCTAACAAAAATACTACTTATAGGGGTATAATTTTTAAAAATTATGTAAAATTATTTCTTGGACCTAAATCCTAGTTCCTGGAATAATAATACTACCCGCGTGCTAATAAAAATATAGCTTATAAAAGTATAATTTTTAAAAACTATATAAAATTATTTTTTAAACCTAAATCCTAGTTCCTAGAATAGCCTAGTGCTATATAATAATACTTATTAGCTATTTATACTAGATTTTATTATACTAAAAGTACTATAAAATATGCAATTTCTTAGATATTATATCCTACCTTTATTATAACTTAAGCATATTAAAATTTATATTTTATGCCTGCTTAAGTTTCTTAAGGTACTTATACTAATTATTTAAAAAAATAAGCAGGAGATTAATAAAATATATTTTAAAAAGCTTTTTAATAAGACCTTAAAGTTATTATTTAAGGTAAACTTTAATAAGCTAGTAATAATAATAATACGCTAGTTTAAAATATTAGCTATATAACTAAAATATTATATTATATTTATTATAAAAGTCCTGGACTTATAAAAAAGCACGAAACATAAAGGTAGTAACTACTTAAATTTAATTTTAATTTTAAAAAAAAATATTAACCGGCGCGGTCTATTTATTTTATAGTAAAAAAGCTTGTTATTATTACCTAAATAAGTTAAGCAGTTTAAATAAAAAAAGCTTATAAAAAAGCATAAAATATAAAGGCAGTAGCTACTTAAATTTAATCTTAATTTTAAAAAAAAATATTAACTAGCGCGGTCTACCTATTTTAAAGTAAAAAAGCTTATTAATTTAATCTTAATCTTAAAAAAAAACATTAACCCTTTTAGGTAAAAAAAAATAAAATAAGTAAGAAAAGCCTGGCCACGGCCTATATTTACCAGGAAAAATTAAAATAACACCTGTAAGTTAATATTATAAAGCCTAAGCTAATAATTAAAAATATTATAAAAAAACCTAATAACACCCGTGGGTTAATATTACAAAGCCCAAGCTAATAATTAAAAATATTATAAAAAAACTAAAATAATACCCATGGATTAATATTATAAAGCCTATACTAGTTATTAAAAATATCGCGAAAAAACCTAGCAAGCCAAAAGATAAGATTATAAAGCCTAAGCTAATTATTAAAAATATTATAAAAAAACTAAAGTAATACCCGTGGGTTAATATTATAAAACCCACGCTAGTTATTAAAAATATTGCGGAAAAACTTAGTAATACTTATAGGTTAATATTATAAAGCCCACACTAGTTATTAAAAATATTATAAAAAAACCTAGCAAGCTAGAAAATAAGATTATAAAGCCTAAGCTAATTATTAAAAATATTATAAAAAAACCTAGTAACACCCGTGGGTTATTATTATAAAGCCTATGTTAATTATTAAAAATATTATAAAAAAACCTAGCAAGCTAAAAAATAAGCCCTTAAACTATTTTATAAAATAAAAAAAAAATTTAAATTTAAAGGCACTATAATACTATATTTATAAATATATTAAGCTAAAGTAAAAACTTATAAAATTATACTTTTACTTTAAACCTAGTTTATATTTACTTAATTATTTTTTATTAAACCTTTTTAAATTAAACTTTGCACTAGGCCACCTGCCTTTTTTATTACCTTATTTTTATAGCATAATAACCTTATTATAAGTATTTAGCCTAAAAAATTTATTATTATTATTTACTTTTTACAAGCAGGTGCTTATCCCTAGCTATAATTTATAACTAAAGTTTTATATACTTATACCTGGCTTTAACCTGGCTTTACTATATATATTTACTTTTAATAAATAATAAATATAGCCTAAGCCCTTTTAAGTATTTTAAGGTCCCCTTTAATATTATTTTAGCTAATACTTTTTTATTATTTAATATAAGTTTTTATAATATTAACTATTACCCGGGCGCTTTACTACTTATTTTAAAGTATATTATTATTTTAATACTATAAATATAATTTAACACTTATTTAATAAAAACTATTTTATTAATAATATAAAACTAAAACTAAAATAAAAATATAATACTACTTTAATACTATAAATATAATTTAACGCTAATTTAATAAAAAATATATTATTTATAATATAAAATTAATACTTAAGCTAAAACTAATAATATTTTAATATTATAAATATAATTTAATACTAATTTAACAAAAAATATATTATTTATAATATAAAACTAATATTAAACTAAAATAATACTAGGCTTAGTAATAACGTCCGCCTAAAGGTAATATTAATTTTTTTAACTAATATTTCCCTGCTAAACTAACAGCCTACTAGTAACTATATTACTTATAATTAATAATTACCCAACGCCTTAATATTAAATAACTATTACCTAATTATTATTTAATAAAATTTTGTTATATAACAGTTAAATCGCCGTTGGCCGGGACCCCCCGGAACCGGTATGGATGGAGGACGGCCGTGTCGCTTAGGGTTAATTCCGAACACCCCGAGCGACATACTACAGAATTACGAGCTCACGAATCACACCTGCAGCGGCTATATAACGGGTCCTTGCTCCGATCGAATGAATATCCTACTCCTCGGAAGCGCAACCTAAATCGTCTAGTTCTCTTCCTGCAGAATTATGCCAACCCCATCTAGCATCCGTGGCCGCGTCATGTCGGATTAAGGCGTAGGCTAGCGGTTGCTTAGGGCTCTTGGCTTTTTTACAAAGAATCTCATAATCAGTTTTCGAACCCACCGGCCCCAGTGTACACTCGCAAGGGCTAGCTTGATCTGATCTAATCTCTCATCTGATGAAACTGCTGTTCATATGGCAGTATTCAAATGTTGAGCACGAGAACATATCTCTTATTGACAGCATTGGCGGGACTTGCCGCTGTTGGTCATTACGGTATGCTACATGTCAAATATTATTGACTCCTTGAGTGCCTACCGATCCATGGCTATACGATTACAGCGTGACTCCCAGTCTTTGGCCAGCTATGTTTGGATGTGGACTTATAGGCGGACCGCTAAGGTCCTCTCCCTCTTCCCGCTACACCCGATCAGCGCCCAAAAAAGGGTTTCGCCTCGAAGCAAAAACATACAACAGCTGGGATTCGCATGTGGTCACCCACCATACTACTAACAAGCCGGCGTGTGGTTTAAGTACGGCTGAGCGGACGGGAAGCCCTGTTCTCCACACCCTATGGTCGTATGTGCTGGATCCTAGTACTATACCGGCCTGAGTTGGAAGCGATTACAAGTAAATCAAAGACAAGCAGCAGGAAATAGATACGTTAAAACTGAGCTGCTCGGCCACGGGAATTTCGCGATAGGGACCCCGAAGCAGGGCACCCTCGGTATCAAATTTCGTGATCCCTTGTCATTCACAGCATGGTAGGTGGTCCATACAAACTAATGGATGGCAATTCGCAATTCTATCGGTAATGATTGTATACCAGGCGAACAGCTGACCCAATTCAAAAATGAGTTCTTCAGGATCCATCTCCTCAAGCTTCCGTTCACATCAATCCATCCCCTCCCGCAAAATCATCTGCAAAAGCCCGGAGGTTTTGCCCTGGACGAATCCGGTCCGTAGAATGGGTACTGGTACTGGTTTGACTACCCCTTGCCAAGCGTAGCAAAACTCATCGGGTCATTCGAGTGTCCTCTCCAAATCAACCATGATATCATGGACTTGGCTTCTCTTGTTCTGGGCGCTCAGGCCCGGAGAGCCCCCGGCGTCGGGGTATATGGATAAATGACCTCGATAAAGCATGGATCACTGTTGTATTCTGTAGAAAGTTGATTACTTAGGTTTATCAAGTTTATCCCTTGACTAAGAACAAAGATAGTTCAAAGCTTGTGGAAATAGTACATAATATAAATACTGTGTGTTGCTTTTAGAGAAGAGGGTACTCGATTCAATGATCTTCTAAAAATACGGCAACAAGGCAAGATAATATATTAGACAGCGATAAGCTAAGTAGGTGCTCGTAGGAGGCTGAGACTTTAAGATTACCTAGGGATTTAATGCACTTAGCACGACCATTAATAATTCTCTGGCTAGCAATAATCCGATATGTATTCTACTTCCAGTCATCCGATAGACCAACTGTGGCAATTTGCAAGAGCCAAGTCCGCACGAACGCCTTATGTATAGAACAACCATGATAGCCATAGCCCGATATCAAATATCTCGACTAAGACCAGTCCACCGTGGCGTCAACGGAGTCAATGTCGACGAGCGCGTCGAACAGTCGGATCTGCCCGGACAGAACGAGATGCTGAAGCCAAGCAAGACCGTGCTGTGCAAGAGGGTGTTGCTCGAGTCCGTCCACAACTTCTCGGCTGAGTTGGCGAGCCCACTCCCCCTCCTCGAAGCTCTGGGGCGGCGGTACCGGCATCCACCGTAACCCAGAGCCAGCGGTCACCTCCCTCAGCAGGCGCTCGCACTCGGGGCAAGCCGCCCAGGGGCCTCCCTTGTACTCGTAGGAGCCGTAACGCACGGCCGTGAAGCTCATATACACCACGCCTCCCATCGCGTACGCCGCCGACCGCGGATGAGTCCGCCCCTCGCGCAGCATCGCCTCAAGGTAGACATGGAACGGGTCCGGCACGCCCAGCCCGTAGATCGCAGAGACGCCGTTCTCGTGGTTCTTGGCCGCAGCGTCGCACCGCCAGTCTAGCAGGTCGTGCATCGCGATCGCGACCTTGGGCCCGATCAGCCCTTCGCCCAGTGATCCGTGGCCGTAGTGATAGCCTGTTAGCCCCGTGCCCCCGCCACTGACCGCTCGCCAGGACATCGCCGCTCTCACGGTCGCCCCTGAGTGACTGCCCCTGCGGTCCCCCGCTGCTTGCAGGGTGCTGCCGTCCAGCAGCACGGTCTGGCCGCCGGGGCCCAGCAGAAATGCCGCGCCGACGGCAATGGCTACCATGCGGTGCCGCACCTCGCGCTCTGGCTCCGTGAATGCGTGGTAGTCGTCGCAGATGCTTAGGTGGCAGATGGTCCCGGCTTGGAGGGCTTGCTTGGGGGGCAGCCAGGCGGAAAGGGCGATGGAGCAGGGTAGGGTGCCTGTCTCGTAGCATCCGATCGCGAGAGGGCTGGTGGCGGGGTAGAAGGCGCTGCTGATTATCTGCATGGGGATGTGCCGCAGGAAATTGGCTTTCTTGTTGACGTGGGCGATGGATGTCGAGTCACCGTGGTAGTGGTCGGCGACGATCGCCTCGCAACCTCGTCGAGCAGCGTCGATGATCTCCGGTCCAAACTCGTGCATCAATTGCTTAAAGATGGCCGATGTGGATTTGATCCACTCGGCTTTGGCACGTCGAGAGGTGTCTTCTGGTGCCTCGATCACAGTGCGGCAGTAGTTGATTACATCCTGCTCGAGATCCGTTCGTAATCTTGCTCGTTCTGTTGGTTCCGAGGTGAGTTCCAGCAGACCAGACTGTAATAAACGGTGGTATTGAGGATCAAGATCATTCTCGACATGCTCTTCCACGGCACAGCTTGATTGACCTTTCAATTCTTCCCCTTTGGACGTTCCCGGGCCCTGCAACACTGGGGGGTTCACTGTGGGCATTATCACCTCTGACGCTTGCTGTCAATGGGAGATGATAGTACGTCCAGTCAAAGATAAAGCGAAAGAATAGAAACCAAGTTGAAGTTCTTCAGGTGTCATCAGAACATATAGACGCTGTGTTCTGTCTACATGGATTGGTCCGACGGGCGGTGACGTAACAACAGGATAGAGTTGCCTGTGGATGCCTCTTGAAAACTCAATGTTGGAGGTGCCCAAAGATAATGGACCGTCTGTGAAAATGAAGGGGTGCTCCCCTGTCAAGCTACTCCATCACTCTGCTGGTCGGGGTTGTAGTCCGTACGCTACATCTAAGAAAGACAGGGGGCTTACCATACACATAGTGGACAACCCAAAGAATGATGCCTACACGGTCTTGTATCGAGTACCTACCTAGCCATGCAGCCAGGTAGGACAAGCGGTGGCGGACAGATGAAACCAATTTCAGCATTTCCAATCCCAGTCCAAAGTCTTGTCATTTCAGCTGTTGATTCTCTGCGTGAGTGAACTTCGAGAATAAGGAAACACACTCTTTCCCTCCACAGGGATCCATAAACCCACTGATGGTGGTCTACTTAATTCGGCACACATGAGGGTCTGGGCAGGCATGGGAAGGCAAAGACTTGGCGAGTCTATCATAACCCGCACGAAAGGTGTCTTCGAGAAGGCCGGCGATTTGTATTGCCAGAGTGCTTCAATTACGGCTTCACCATGTAGGCTGAGCGCCCTCCATGAGATGTAGTAGATTCATCATCTCAACCTTTTTCAGAATGCATAGCGAACTTGGGTACCCTTTGCAAAGGTCAGATGCGTCTTTGCTTTTCTATACCTCAATAACACACATCAGAATATACAGGAAATTGTCTGAATAGAAAAAGCTTATACTTGTTGCTATCATCATGCAGAAATATTGAGTTCCAATTTGGTAAGTACATGCACGAAGAAAACACTTTTTCGTCCACTGCCTGCTTATACTGAAAAGTCCACAATACGCAACGGCACACCGCGTGCCCCCCGTCCCTGCCGCACCCCCAATTCCTTCCCAGAGAACTGATAGAAGGCCTTCGTGCTATCGATATCCGACGCCTGCAGCCGTGGAGGAAACTCATACCCCATGACGGACGTCGGATTCCTCGGCCCAACCTGCACAGACTTCGCGCTCCGCTCGCGCTCCGGCGCAAACTCATGGCGCAGCCCAAGGACATGTCCCAGCTCATGCAAGAAGATATTCCTCAGATACTGCACGGTCCCCGGCCGGAACGCCGCCGGGTAGACGTTCAGAGTCTGCAGGTCCACGTCGCTGGGGAAGAACGCCTCCGCCAGCACGCCCTCGCTCCGCTGCTCCGCGAAGCTGAGGACAAAGGCCGCGTCGTCGATCTTCTCGACCCACGCGAAGTGGATGCCGAGGTCGAGGGCGTTCCATTCGTTCGCTGCTTCGTTTAGCTTGGTTGCTGCTAGCACGGCGAGCTCTGGCTTTGGATAGCCGTGTGCCAGGGCGGCGAAGTTCACGGTTGTGTTTGCTTTCCAGCGGGGGATTTTGTCGCCGAGCCCGACTTGGAGGGAGGCGATGCTGGTGTTGTTTGCGAAGGCTGCGGGTGGGGGCTTTTGCGTGATGCAGGGGTAGCTTTCTAGCTTTGATCCGGTGGAGCCGGATTCAGTCGGTAGTGAGGGTTGCTGGGATTTTGCGGCCTCGGGGTTGAGCGTTTTGAGTGCGTCGGGGGACACATTGTCTTTGAGGTCGTGGATGAGGTTGGCACGGGAGGGCTTGATAGTAGATCGCAGGGCATGAGGCACATGAGGCATGATGAATGGTTTTGGGGGACCAAGTGAGGTTCCGCACCAGTTTGGGGTGTTAGGGTTCAGCTTAGTATAGAAGGAGTTAATGATTAGTACAAAAGCACTCGCAGCACTGCAGTATAGTAGACCCTACTTATACCCTAAAGACCTTTACTCATGTATATGCTCGCTGCGTACAACCTAAGGTCGCTGGGGCTCGCAGTTCGCGCCGTATGAGCACGCCACATGCGTGATAGACTTTCTACGATGGCCTGGTGATCAATATTCCAATATACTGGCGTCACAGAATCCAGTTCAATTGCCGAGGGACAAACTACTATACCCGCGGATTTGTCAATTGGAGGTACGTAACCAGATCTATCACCCAACATATGACCATCTGGACTGTTGACGCGAAACAATCACGCCACATGTGCAATGGACAGTTTTTGGATGGTCGAGTTAATCGATACTTGAATATACCAGGGTCACAGGATCAAGTTTAGTAGCTGAGAACAAACTAATACGCCCAAGGTGAAACCTGGCACCCGACATATGACTATCTGGACTGTTGACGACATACAGAGCACCAAGAAAATCGCTGCGGGGATCCAGTGAGGAATCGAGGTCATCAGAAAGCTTTTCCACAATGGATCTACTCGACTCTGATAATGCCTCGTGGGTAGTTGATCCGAACCAAAGTCTGGGGTTATACGAGTGGGCTAGACCATGTGGTGACATGTGCATCCCATTTCCGCAAACGGCCACTCTTCTCAATTCTCATGGTCCAATTGGCCATAAGTACAAATCCTCGAAAGTCTATCCATGAACCAGGCTCCCAAACGTCCATGGCCTTGTGAAAACAACCTCGTGACTGGCGTACCCCAACTCCTCTATAAATCTGCGGTGCCTCTCCAACCGTTCGTAGTCATTAACCGACAACAAGAATCTCAAGTTTAACAATCAACCACACCTCTCTTGAATCAGCTCATCATGGACGCAACCCGAAACCTTCACATCGAGACCCAACCTCGCGACACTTACCTCGTCGGCGACTGCGAGGACCAACGTGGCGGCTGGCACCACAGTCGTCTCCGGCTGGACTCCTGCCTCGGCGATAATGAAGGTTTGTTGGCACTCCGCAATACAAGGCGTTGTAACGCGTACTGATTGTACTAGGCCGCTTCGAATGGGGAGGAAATGAGTTCACCGAGCACGCGACCAATATCAGATTCAATCCTGAAGAAGGTGCCAGCCGGGTTCCGGTGCTGCGAGCTGACCTTCGCGACTCGTCTGGTAAATACCAGCGTAACAAGGATGTGAATCTGGCGGAGAGGATTAATAATCGTGATGGCAACCTCGAGTTCCATTGGTAAGTGGTGGGAGCTTTGCATATTGATACCCGCATGAGTGTTAATGGCTTACTAGAATGATTCCCTTTGCCAATGGTCAGAAAAGTGCTACTGCCTGGGAGTTACATGTTTTCTGATATTTAGTATATGCTTCTTTGCTGTGGCCTGAATCTACCTTCCTGGGAATACCCACGAACAAAGAAACAATATGTCAATATGCGCGGAATGTTGATTAGTTCAATGTCAATCCTTTGTACCAAAACAACCTTAAATATTGCTAGAAGCACTCCGCGCAAAAGCTATCCGCGTATCTTAAGCTGTCAAACAGAGTAAATCTATGAGCCCACGAAGCCGCCTATCAACCCCTACCCAGTAACATTCCAAGTTGTTAAGAAAAGTGGACGGGCATTTGTCCCGGCTCATCACGTTCGTAAGGGTCTCTGGAACGCATAGACAAGCCACGAGCCTAGACCCGCAAGAATCTGGAGCTGGCCCATGATGAGTAAAATCGATTTCAAGCAGAAAGCCCGATTCAGAAGAGAGGAGCATGACGTGCCCGTCAAAGGTGTAAAATATATAAGTCATTCCCCAGGCATCTCAACATTGCCTAGAATAAGAAAACTCATATTGCCAAAGCCATCTGACCACGACATACATTTTCATCATGCCCGACTCCTCTAATTCGAAAAATGGCACTTCTCCCCCAAAACACGACATTTTCCGTGCAGCCACAAGTGCATTATACAAAAGGCTGAGGGTGAAGGAACGTCACAAGACCTCACATAACCATCTGTTCTCCATTGCTTTCAACACCCTCTCCATCCTCCAGCTGATCATCGGCGCTACAATCACAGGGCTAGGTCCCATATCCGACAACCACAGTGTGGCAGTCACTGTTCTAGGGGCAGTGAATACCGTTATTGCCGGCGTGCTTGCCCTCATGAAAGGGCGTGGGCTACCGCAGCGTCTGCGAAAGGATTTGGCCGAGATCAGGAAAGTGCTGAGCTATATTGACGAGGTTGACGTTGATTTGAGGTATGGAGAGGGCCAGAGGGCGGATGGGGATGGGAATGGGGATGTTACGGCTCTCATCAAGGAGGCTTTTGCCCGGTATCAAGTCATGCAGGAGGTTATTGATATGAATCAACCGGACTCTTATGTTAATGCACCACAGTTGGAGAGGAGCGGTCAACTTCGCAGGGACCATCCGGGTGACGAGGAAATGGCATGACGAGATGATTTATTGTGTACATTAGTGTATGCTTGTTTGCTTCGAGCACTCATACAAATGCTCCTTCGAAAAGTGGTCTTAATAGCCAGGATTCAATGGGATATTAGCTTTCAAATTCCTGCTGCTGTCTAGTTCTCAGATTGATGGTTAATAGTCATGCATGGAACAGATGTGATCCGGATCATGGATCAGATCTAGGGCTGCGTCTGATCCTCAAGGTCCCGAGATCTAGATTTTCTCCCGGGACACGGGGCGGGCGTGCGCCCGTATGCCGTCCATTGCCGTTTGCGGTAAATTTGGCTCTGGTAGCTCTTTGGTCGGGAGTCATACCACCCTTGCACATTCTTCGGAGTTGACTTGGATTGTACAGCACATGTCTGCTTTGCATCGCACTGACACTTGATACTCTAACTTATCTGTAAAATCATGGATCCTTTCTAGACCTGAGATCTACAAACGACCCAGCTGCCCGTTCCGTCCTTGGTTTACAGTCTGTACTTGATGGTGGACCTATTGATTGTTTCAGTAACCCTAATCAGGATTGCACGAAGCCTTTACTATACCATGGAAGCTATTAGCCCTCAATGGGAGCCTGCTGTATGCAGTTTCACATGTTAAACCCATGGCATCATGTCCACCACATGGAAACCGCCCTCTTCACCCTCTTATTCCACTCGTACTTAGGAGGCCCAAGAGACCGAATATATTCAATAATCTATTTTGTACCCATAATTGGGCTCGCACAGCTTGTCATCATGATTCCAGAACGAGTCAAGAACCGCTCTAATCAAATTGGCCACATTGTAAATGCAAAACACAGGGTCATCATACTCACTGAAGCCAGTAAGAAGCCCGATCTGCTAATTCATCCATCCGAGCAAGCTCGGCCATTGTTAGGTCCAGTTTGTCGTGAAGCTCATCGATGCTATGCTTGACTTCTCAGCATATAAAAGCCCGCAATTGCTTTGTTGATATTGAACCCTTGATGAATGGGGGTTGCTGGGAAAGTTGCGCACAACGGTGACTATGACCGAGCCAAACTATTTTGTAGGATGGTTCATCTTGTTCCCGTTATCATCACCAGAGCCCTATGTGAACTAGACCTTATCTTTGTCCAATTCGTGCGACTTGCGCTGACACGTGAATACTTTTGATACTATCTGAACATTTACCAGAGTACGTCAATGCCCACCTTTTTCTCACGCGGCCAAAAGAGACATTGTCAGGTTTCGTCCAATTATCCATGCCGCTTCAAACTCCTCGGTATCGAAAGTGGGATTGCCATCTTGCATCTCGTCTGCTGTCATGGCCCGGACATGCGGTTGTTGGAATATGTCAGGGCCAAGGCGCCTCATCTTCTCTCTAAGCCACTCTCGGGTGAACAAGTCCTTGTCGCGACATAATATCGGCATATTGCATGTACCGGTAGATCATCCGTGAACCTTGGAAGCCTCGGAACCTTGCCGCGTGTTCTGTCAATTTTTGGGCCCAACATACACTCTCCACACCTCTGGATATTAAGCATCCTCCTGCCGGGATGCCCAAAACACCAAGAGCTAGTTGCATATTATAGAATCCCTTTCTTACCCTAGGTTATACATTCTTCGCACTTTTAGTCGAAAGCCGTTGGTTCTACTGTACTACATTTTAAGTCATGCGATCATCATTCCGCTTACTCCTGCTGAGAAACGGAACCGCCGGCTTCTACCAGCGTGACAGGCAGATCAAGTCATGATTTCATTAATTCTGTGAGTGGCCGAATATGTATTTAGCAAGCTTGAAAATCGCCCGTCGTGGAGTATGGTCTTGATTTACCTTAACTATTTGTCTTCCTATCAGACCTTACCTTACACTGGTATCTTTACTCGGTTAATAGGCCTATCTACCCTGACAAACCAGGACTTCGACAAGACACAAGAAAGGCCTTGTTGAAATTCTGAAAATCCCATCTTTTACATCGAGTCATCTTCCCAGAGGTATGAGAATCCCTATGCCCTATGTGCTTTACTTTTATCTGACAACGCAAAATCTCTATCAGCCAGCCACAATGTCCGAGCGTGAGAACGGAACAGTCAAATGGTTCAATGAGGAAAAGGGATATGGCTTCATTACGCCAGACACTGGCATGGATCTATTTGTTCGTTCCCGGGCGATCGAGTCAAAAGGATTCAGAGCCCTTAAAGAGGGCCAAAGGGTTTCTTTCGAAGTAGCGGAGGGCCAGCAGGGTTTGCAAGCGGATAAAGTTCGGGTGGAGGACTGATTTTGCGCGTCCGCACATGTTGTTACAGATAAAGCAACAACTCTAATCCATTTATAAAGGGTTGCTTTATTCTAAAGCCGCCCTGTGGTAATATGTGCTAGATACAAGCACTGTATCATTGTACATAGAATGGAATTGAAGGTGAGCAGAGAGGCTTACAGTAGCTGTGAATGAAGTATAAGCAGGACATCTTGGGTGTCATTCCAATCTGTTCGGCCTACGAGGTGTGGTCTGAAGATACATATATAATATCCTTTGACCTTAACAAAGACAAAATAACAAAGAAGCCGTCATTAATGAAGTAAATACCAATTTCCCTAGCATGGGGAAGTATGAAGTATTAATACCCAGTTGTCTGCGCGCAGGATATACCACGAGAAATTGCCACTCTATCGCACAACGGGAACGCGACCTCTACGCCCGCCATCATCTCTGAAAGGAATCCACGATTCTGCTCCAGTACATAGGAATTAAGAGCCTTATCCAAAAGATCAAAGCACCGCAATTGACACCCAGTTATTGAACGTGTTTACAACCATTGGTATGAGTAGGTATAATATCTCCAGCATGGAGCTGGATGGGACCAACAGACTTACTAGACAAGGGGATATGACTAGCGCCATTGCTTCCACTGCATGAACATCACATATAGGGTACCTGGCTGGCAGGCCGCTCAGGCTTGACAGTGAACAACAGTCGCAGCTATTTCAATAGTTGCCGCTGATTGAAACATGACCCTTTTCCAGCGTTGAGGTCTGTGTGCTGACTTACTTGTTTCGGGCAACAAGCTTCCCACCCGCGTCATTTGCAACGCAGAGATTATGATTTCCTTCAATCAGCGCCCGCTCTCCGTTGAGTTCTCGGTAGTTACAGATGAAGGCGAGAAGAAACTGTCCAGGCTGTTAAAAACAGTTGGAGGTTGGTATTCTACGACCTATTTCAACCGAGGAATTGGGGCCCTTCTTGTACCGTAGGTATCTCAAGCCTGGAAATTCAATACAGACAGTGCGGGTCACTTTCTCAAAAGAGCAAGCTCTCCAGGAGTCATACCCAAGCTGGAGGTTCCATTAGAGTGCCGATTGTATACCTTCCCTGAATCACGTGAGGCGTGACGTCACGTCAGAAATCAGTCCTACGGTAATCACTGATTCATCATCCGGGATATGCAGCATCTATTCTACATAATAGTCGCCAATGTTTCCGTAGAAGAGAAAGAGTTTGCTCTACAGGGCAGCAGCCAGCATCTGGTGACCATAAGTAACAGAAGCTCGTCGTCCTATGGTACATAGCAGACCTACCTAAGGTACCTGCAGCAGCCCCGCGATCGGACGCCCCTGACCCACTGCAGTTTCAGCCTCAGATCAACGACATCACTACCAACCATCTCTCAGCTTCACCTCTCACCATCCCCATTATCTATCACCATGGCCCCCCACGACGGCCTCGTCCACCCGGAACAATACGACCTAAAAGACAGCAACGTCGAGCTCATAAACTCCTCCCTCGACCACCGGGTCAAGCACGCCTCCGCCGCCACCGAGCCCGCCTGGAACAACGGCGCGATCGGGTCCCAAGCCGGCCTCTTCATCTGGCGCATCGAGGACTTCGAAGTGATCCCGTGGCCGAAAGAGCGCTACGGCGAGTTCTACGACGGCGATAGCTACATCGTTCTGCACTCGACCAAGATCGAAAATGAGGATGACAAGCCCCTGCGTCATAACATCTTCTTCTGGCTCGGTAGTAAGACGACGCAGGATGAAGCCGGCACGGCTGCGTACAAGACCGTTGAGCTAGATGAGTTTTTGAATGGTGCTGCGACGCAGCATCGCGAGGTGCAGGGGTATCCGTCCGAGGAGTTTACGGCTCTCTTCCGGCGCATTACGATCCGGGCTGGTGGTGTTGCGAGCGGATTTACGCATGTTGAGGAGGAGATGCCGAAGGAGGTAACTACTTTACTACGCGTTTTTAAATCGCCGGGTGGTGGGAGGGGTGCGCCTATTATCGTTTATGAAGTTGAGCCTACGTGGAGGAGTCTCGACGACGATGACGTCTTCGTTCTGGATAAGGGCGAGAAGATCTGGGTCTGGCAGGGGAAGAACTGCAGTCCGATGGAGAAGGCCATGGCTGCGCAGGTGGTTAGCGATATGACGCTTGCCAAGCACGTTGATGTGGAGGTCTTGTCGCGCCATGAGTCGCGGTCGAGGATTGTGGTTGATCTGCTGGGTGGGAAGGATGATGAGGGTGTGGATGTTACGAGCACGTTCAAGGCGGCGCGTCCGGTATCGCAGGCTAAGAGGGCTTTGGAGAGTTCGGACGGCGATCGCCCGCGCAAGTTGTTCCGGCTTAGTGATGCCTCTGGTGAGCTTGAGTTTGATTTGGTCAAGGAGGGAGGGAAGGTTCGGAAGTCGGACTTTGATGGAAATGATGTCTTTCTGTATGATGTTGGCAGTCGGCTTTGGGTGTGGCAGGGGCTCGGAGCAAGTCAGAGAGAGAAGGCGCTGTGGATCAAGGTCGCGCAGGCTTATGTTCGGCGCATTCAGAGCCAGGAGTCGGAGTCTGATGTGTACTCGGTTCCTATTTCCAAAGTCGTGCAGGATTATGAGAGCCCGTCTTTCCTGAAAGCGGTTGATGTTTAGTCGGATGGCGGCATTGCCCGAGTGGCTAGACGCTTGTGTTTATATATATCACCGTGCTAAAACTCTCAAATACAACTGATAGATCTGTGAGGGCCGCAAAGCACAATCAACGTATCCCGCAATTGTCTAAATGGAGTGTAGATGAAGTGTCAGTCATCAACAACCAAGCCATGGACTAGTTGGATAGACAACCTGAACTCTTGGAAACTCCCTAGGAACCTACTATACATGAAACTCTAACCAATCAAACAAAGTGTCCATTGACATAAATATAACCAACTTAAAACCAGAAACAAAAGTACCCTTAATTCCCATATAAGCCCTAGACATCCTATAACCCATACATATGCCCTATGGTACTCACCTCTCCCACCTGCAACTAACATTCACTCCGCTTCCTGCACCGGCTCAACAACCGCAACAACCAACTCCCCCACACACCTAACCCGCCCATGACCAATCCACAACCCCCCACCCCCCCAAAGCTCCGCATACATGCCAGTCCCTAGCTTCCCAATATTCGGAGGGACAGTCTTGCGCATGCCATCCCGCGCCCGATCCTCCAGCATCTCCAGCGTGACCGCGTGCATCGACGAAAGCGGGTACCGTTCATCCAGATCAAGCCGCACAACGCGGTCGATGACCAGCCACTTTATTACACGGCCGCGCGCGAATCGCACGATCCCGGTAGCTGGGTCTACGGCCACGGTGATGTTTGGCTGTGTGGGGGCGGAGCGCTTGATGTACGGGTATAGCGGGCCGTCGATGGGGAAGCCGTAGGGGGCGTGGTAGTGGGGGTGGGCATTGGAGNGGAGGGGATGGGTCATTGGGGTGGCGATGGTATTTGCGTTGGTGGTGTTGGAGCTGTCGGTGCTATGGCTCCCATGCCGCCGTTGGCTGGTTTGGGAATATGGTGGAGTCAGCGTAGTCTTATTGTAACCACGTGATTTGTAATAGTATTATAATAATATAATAAGTAATTATAATATTATAGTATTTTTTAAAATTTATATATATAATTAACACAGGAAAACACTAGTAAAATATAATTACTTATTAAAAATATATTATATATTATTTTAGTTTAAAAATTTATTTTAAATTATATTTTTAGTAATATATTAGCTAAGTGCAAGCTATATTTTTATATTTTTTATTTATTTTTAGCAAGGATATATAAATGTGCGGCTGGATATGCTTTTTAAGGGGGTAGTAATAAATTATAATAAATATATAATAGGATTTTTAATATATACTTTCCTAGTTATAAATTTAGCTTATAAATATAAATTTTTTTTATTACTTTATACTATTAAAAAACTAGTTTACTGGTTGCATCCTGTTTATTTTATATAAAAAAATAACTTAAAAAACATTAGTTTTAATAAATACTAAAAAAAGGATAAAAATTAAGCTGTAAATTAAAAAGATAATATCCACCCTTAAAATACTTATAAAATAACAAAAGTTATTATAAAAAAAAGTTAAACTTAGTTGCTAATATTTATATAATTAAAGGTATTATTACTTATAACCCTTTTTTTAATTTTAATTATCTTTTTATTATTTTTATCTTTTAGCTTATTATTTTTATTATTTTTAAAATATTTTACTTCTACCCTAGCGTCGCAAGCATGCAAATAATATTAATTATTAAATATATAAAACTATTTAACTTACTAGCCTGTTTTACCTAGTAATAATAAACCCACGGGTATAAGTACCCGTGGAAATAAGTTTTATTATTTTAAAAAGGTATATTTTAAGGTAGTTTAAATTATATATATATATTGCTATATATAACTTTTAATTTATAAATAAACTAGGTAAAGTGCTAGTGTAGCTAGGGTAATATTAAATAATATTTATAAAAGTTTATTATTAAAAATATTTTTTATACACCTTTATATTTATAAAGGTTTTTAATATAAGTTAAACTAGGGTAATACATAATTTAATTATATATATAATAGTTAAGGTATTAAATTATATATAATAATATAAAGCATTTTATAGCTATTACTCTTGCTAATATAAAACATGTAAAATAAATAGTTTTTAGGAGTTAAATAAGGTTATTTAATATAATAAATTTATTTAAAAAGGTATAATATATTATTCTTGGGATTAGCCAGCCGGAAAAGATATTAATATTAATAATAAATATAAGTAAAAAGTTTTATAAAGCTAAATAAATATAAAAAAATATATTAGTTTTATTATTTTATTTTTTATAATTATACTTTATTACAAGAATTTAATTACTAGTATTTAAAAAAAAGTCCAGGCTATTTAAGGGGCTAATAACTTTATAATTAATAATAGCTAAAAAAAACTTAAAAGTAGTACTAGATAATATAATATTAAATTAAAAAAAAAGAGTAGTAGTTAGTAAAAAAGTTTATACTTTAGGTAAAAATAATACTAGGTAGTATTACCTTTTTACTTAAAAGAGTTTTTTTAAGTTTAAGTAGTTTAAGTAATAATATTTTTTTAAGCTTAACTAGTGGTGGTGTTTTTTTAATAATACTAGGTGGCTATTTAGGTAAGAATATTAGTATATTATAAAATAAAGGCATGGCTACTATTATTTAAAAAAATAGGAATTAATTATTATAAAAAAGAGTATTTTAATAAATATAGGTAATTATTTTTAAAAAACAAAGCTAAAGGCAAATGCAGGTATATTAAAATAAAAAAAAATAAGTAAATTATAAAAACTAAAGGTAAATAAAAAATACTATAGTATTTTAATTTAAAATAGCTAAATTTTTATTACTAAACACAAGTTTCCTAGATTTATTATACCTAAAAAATTTTATAATTATAAATTAGCTTTTTATTATAAATAAACACACTGCAAAGGTTAAAATTAATAAATATAAACCTTACCTTTAGCCTAAAGGCATTTAATTTATATAAGTATATAGTTAAAGCTTAAAAATAATATAATTATTTATTAACCTAACACTAATCCTATTTTAATATTATATAATACTATTAAATATTAATAATTAAAGCAAGCTTAAGAAAATTATTATATAAATATATTATAATATAAAAAAACACTAGTAATAGCAGCAGCATAGTTTATAGTAATAAAAAAGAAAATAAAAAATATATTTTAGTATTTTTTAGCTATTAGTTTTAATATTTTTTTTTAAAAAAATAGTTAAAAAATACTTTATTACCGGGGGCGGGATATCTTTTTACTTTTATTTTTTATTAAGCTGTTTACTAAATAGTAGCTTTTTAAAATAACCTTTATTTAAATTAGCATATTTCTTATTTATTATTAGGTAATTTTAAAAGTTTAGTAACTTTTTTTATATAGTTACTAAAATTTAGTTACTAGTATTATATAAATTATTATAAAGCTTTATTTCCGCGGCTAGATATATATAAATATTTAAATAATAATTAATTTATATACAAAATAAGATAATAGTAATGCTAAAAACTTATATTTAATAAAAAACTAGTTATACTTTAAAAACTTATTATAGTTAATAAAATTTTATAACTAGTACTATATTTAAAAAAAAATAAGGGTAAAAAAGGCTTTAAAAAAATAGTTAACTAGCTTTTGCTTTACTTAAAAAAAATTACTAGTAAAATTAAAGTAGGAAATAGCTAGTTACTCCACACGTGTTTTTATTTTTATTAATTTAATATAATTTTAGCTAGGTTAATTAAATTATAATAATATTAAAAATAGCTTGGGGTACTTATAAGCATCCACTTTAGTATTTATAACTTTTAATTATAACATGTATTATAACAGCATAAAAACATATTTATAAAATTAAAGCTTTTTTTATTAATTAAAGTAAGCTTTTTATAAATAATAATATTTAGTCCGGTGTTATAATAAAACTAAATAAAATAAAGTTATTAAAATTAATATATAAAAGTATTTTAGTAGGTTATAAATTTTTTTTTATATTAAAGGGCACAGGGGTGTTTAATTTTAGGTATTTATAATAAAAAAAAAATAATTATAGCTAAATCTGCCTTTTTATTAATAAGGCTATTTATTTTTATTTATAAAATCTTGGGCTTATTTTTTATATTATTTAGGATTTTAGTTTCCGCGGGTATTTTATTCCCACTACTTTTTTTTATAAGTAATATATTTAATATAGTAAAAGTAGCTTTATATTATTTATATAGCTAAAAGTAGTATAAAAACTTAAATTTACTTTTAAATTATTAAAAGTAGCCTAGGGATTTAAATTTATGTTTATAGTACTAGTATTTTAATAGTGTTTAAAACATAGTATTTAAATATTTATCTTGTAAGGAATTTTATAATAATTAAAAAAAAAAGTTAGTTATTTTTAAGTTATCTTTAAAAATAGTAAAATATTAGAAACTAGGTACCTTTATTAGCTTTTTTTTAGCAGTAGTAGTAATAATAATATTTACCTTTTTTTTAGTAACTATAGTAGCAGCAAGATCTACCTTTTTTTTAATAATTATAATAGCAGCAAGATCTGCCCTACCTAGGGTTAATATTTATATTTACTTTAAATAGCTATTTTAATTAGTTTTAATAGCTAGAGATTTTTTTTTTACTATTATAATAAAATAAGATTCTACTGCTATATTAAATAAAAGTTTAAAAAAAATAAAATATAATTAAATTAATTTTATATTAAAAAAAAAATAACTAGCCGGGGAATAACAGGCCTAGGTAAATAAAATTAAAAAGGTTAATATAAATATTAATTAAGGTAAATAATTATAAAAGTTTATAGCTAGTAGGTAATAAATATAGTAGGGTTAAGCCTTTATTATTATATAACCCTAAACCCACCTTAATAAAAGCCTAGTAAAAAGTGTAAAAATTATTTTTATTTTTTAAATTACTTACCTTAAATATTTTTTTACTATTTTTTAAAAATTTTTAAAATTAAAAGGTTATTAAAGTTGCTAGCCCAGGTAAATTATTTTTTTTATCTTTTTTTACCTTAATTTATTTTTACCTGTTCCTGCCT